CGGCAAGGCCCAGCACGAGGGCAGCAGAGCCTTCCTCCCACTCAGGAACCTCCTCTTCCTCCCACAGCAATAGCTCCTGGGGGCCATGGGTACTCATCCCCTTGCTTGCCCTCATGCTTAGCTTTACCCCCTTGAGACAGTCCCAAAAATGAGCCATGAGCCCCATCAGGTACTCTCTGCTGGCAAGACACCAGCATGTTTTATCCTGGTACGAGGTCCCAGCCCCGGGTGGCCGTGCCGGCACAGCCCCATCCCCTCCCTGGCTCGGACACACACATCACTCATGTCCTGGCTGCAGAGCCAGTGCCACCCCACCAGGGATGATCAGGACCAATATATCTAACAGAAGAAATCAACTTTTTTAAGAATGTTTCTACCCAAAGCTTCGTGTAGAAGCAGAGTTTATTCTTGTGAGAAATGCAATAAATATTTAGTGTTTGCAAAAAAACCCAACCCATCCCCCCTGGGTTTTAAATCTGAGCTCGTGGCTGCGGTCAGGGGCTGTGGTGCTGTCACCTGGCTGGCCTCACAGACCACTGTCACCTTGGGGCCAGGACCAGCGTGGAGTGATGATGCTGGGAGATGCTCCCGGGGAGATGCCTCAGAGGCAGGAGATGGGGCATTGCTGCCACCAAACCCTGAATTTCGGGGTGTGCTGGTGCCTCCCTGCTGAGCTTCACACTGGGGCTGATGGTATCCAGAGAGCTCAGCCCTGCAGTGATCTTGGGGAAGGTTCAGTGCCTCTGAGCAAGGGCAGGGAAGGGGTTATGGAAAAAGTTCCAGGAGGGGGTCCTTGGCTTTCTGCTGGGCTCTACAAGGAGCTCGTGTCCCCTTTCCTGGGCAGCCCAGGGACCAGCTGGAGCCCTGCAACAGGTCCCTGCCTGGGGGCTTGTCTGGAGGGGAGATTACTCAGCCCGTTTGGTATAAGAATTGCAGTAATTAAACCTCATTTACAGTGCTCAAGTACAAAGTAGAAGAGTAAACAGTGGTGGCTGTTTGCATTTATTCATCTGCAAACTATGCAATTAGGATTGCAGAGCCAGGAAAGAAGAGAACAGAACGATTGTTCCCCCCACCCTGCCATGGCCCCACTCGCTTGCGGGGAGCTGAGCTGCTGTTCCCAGGCCATCGAGGCAGGCAGCAGCTAGGAACCACCTCCCAAAATAATTTCTCCCATGGCTTTAGGCCAGGTGTAAAAACAGGCTCAGCGATGCTTCGCTGAACACTTGAATCATGTTGAACAGCCGCTGCTGCGGGGAGAGCCCAGGGCAGAGGATGCACTCAGAGCTCTTGGCTGCCTCCACCAAGTGAGATGGTTCACCAGAGCAGAGCCCTTTGGGTTTGCAGCACCCAAAATGCTCCTCGGAGTCTCCTCTGGGCTTCTCCCAGCAACGACTGTATCGCTCACACAGCAGGTTGGTTGGGATCTCCCTCTCCTTCCCTTTCCCAGATTTGGCTGCACAAATATCTTCCTTGACCCAACTGCTTCCAAAACCTGCCAGCCAGCAGCCCTGGGCTCTTC